GGTAGCGGTTTTGCTAGACTCTGCCGAGAATTGAAAACACTATTATTTCATGGTTACTATTCTCAAGACAGCCTCCAGCCAACACATCTCCCACATGTTTAAAGAGCTTTGGAAATTGAGGCTCTGCCTTCTGTGTTGAGGGCACAACTCAGCACAGAGCCACCTGAGTTTGTCACCAAAATCAGGAATAAATCTCTTAACACCAATATTGTATTAAGAAGCAGGCATCCACTTTCTTGCAGCGCTGGATTCACATGGGATCGCTCCAGCTGTCGTGTGTACTGTATGTTGTGTTAGTCAAAGCTTGTATCACCGTGTTACATGCATATGCATTAAAATTTCTGGAATGAACATACATAATCATTCTATTTCTTGGGATTAATTACAATATGCCCCACCTTCATGGGCATGCACCCTCTGTCCCTTTGAAGGGACCACCCAGGATCTCTGGTGGTCAGTGTTTTGGTGTCCTGACGATGAATTCTGGTGGCTTACTTCCATATATGGTCTTGTTTTGGCTGAGAGAGCTCTATTCAGCCAAACTGCCCAGTTTCAGACAGTTCCTTGAAGATATATATGATGGCCCTTGTCTTCATTATCAACTGGTGTTTGCTGTTTTGTCTGTACTCCTTCATGATCGACCAGTAGCAGATAAGAAAATTGTGTCCTTGGGTGCATTCTTGTCTGAGGCCTCTCAAAACAGACTTCCTATGAGACTTCCAAAGTAAGATCTCTATGGGAGTCTCATCTAAAATGATAATATCCTTGATTCCCTCTGCTGTACCAGCAAGAACAAAATGTCATGATTGACGGGCAACACTAGACATACAAGTAATGATTATGAGAATTATTAAAATTGTCTGTAGCAAAGATGGCAGTCATCCATTCAGGGAGATTTCTCTGATTTCCCCCTTTGAATCTGATCTATCTGCTTCTTAAGATCCTCAATGCCTTCATCAGTGTTTCTACCTGCCATGTAAAATTCTCAAGTTAAAGTCTGTTTTGCAAAGCCATAACACCAGGCATTAATAGGCTTTGTATAAAATAGGCCCCAGCTTATTTTAATGGAAATCCTGGATCCCTGCCAATCATCTTCATTCCCAAGGGCTCTCTTAATAATATTGGTGTTTAATAGGTGTCCTTTTCCAAGTTGGGCATAGTGTAAGTAATCCCATGGTTACTGGAATACTTTCGTTGGTATATGAGTGTTGTGTGATCCATTGCCCATCTCCGAGGACCCGCACACTGTCCCTAAGCACTGAAATGCTATAACACCTTTGAGTTTTGCTTCTACAAAAATGTTGTAACTTAAAAGCCTGCCTAAGAACGTAAGGTAAGCTCTCGTTTTCACACTGAGATCGGGTGATATTGTAGGTGACGTGTCAGGTGCAGTTCCATTCTGGCTTTGTGTAATTATGTTTATGGGTATCTCCCCATCTAAATTAACAGGAGAAATACCTCCTATTCCTTGCAAACTCTTTGTCCGCACTTCTTTTCTTTATCCAAGTAATATGTTACATTTACCTTTCATAAAGCATCTGTTATCTAATCTCAAGAGATCAGTCAAATTCAGCAGTATTATGGCCCATGGCAGGGGATCTGAGACTGTGGGGTATAAGGAGACAGGCCATAACATTTGAAAGCTTATTCATTTCCCAAATCCTTTCACTATATTCACTATAATCATCATATTATTCTCTTAATCTATTGTTTCTACTCCCCTCCTTCATCTACACAAGGGAGAGGAAGTCTTGAGAATTTCCCTGAAGTAGTGAGGAGTGCTTTTCTTTATATCCAAAATAGCAATAGGCATGGTGAGCATAATGCCAGGGATCTCCCATATGATCCTGAATAAATATATGTATTTAGTACAAGTACCTTCAATTCTGGGCTGCCTCACCTTAATAGAGATACAGAACGGCGATTATCAGAGGTGGAAGGTAGCGATGTTTATTGCCTATTCCCTCACCTGAATGAAAGGAAGGATTTCCCCAGCCCACACGGCAGTAGTATTCCAGCTCTGATCCCTCCAGCCATCATGTCTCAAAACCACTCCATATTCCCTTAAATTCTTTGCTTAATGTTCTTTGCTTAAAATTCTTTGCTTGACTGTTCTAGTAAGATTTCTGCTGCTCACATCCTTCCTTGCTATCTTTGTGCTATTGGATTTAAATTCAACAATTCCTTCAGCCCATTTCTATCCTTCCACCATTGGCCATGATATTGTCAGTGTTATTAAACCTAACAATGTGGGGATCCCCTCTGTGTGCGGTTCCCTCTTTTGGGGACCTCATGGATTTCCTAAGTCTCTAGTCTCCAGTTCTGTGCGATACCATACACAAGGGGTCCTAAGTAGACTCGCAATATTAACTGGTGGCAGCTTTTATCCTTGTGTAATGAACACACAGTTCAATACCCTCTACCTTTACTGCAGTGTGAACTGTCAAGAGTCCTTGAAAATGTCCTTTCCATTTCTCTTTCTGTGGTTCTGAATTCCAAGCTTTTACATAGACAAAATCTCCTGGTTGATAAAGATGCAGCGGAGTATTGAGAGTGTGAGGTCCTGCAAAAACAATGTGCTGCCAAAGAATCACCAAAATCTTTCCTAAAGAAATTAAGTACAACTGCAATACCCTTTGCATGCATTTCTCCTGGGAGTTCGAGGACCTAGTAGGGTTTCCCACATAGTAATTCACAGGGACTAATCTTACTCCTTGTGCCCACTTGACTTCAAAGGTGGCCTCCAAAGAGTATGTAGATCCTGTTTAATTCTTGCAATAAGAAAGAGATTCTCGATCAGTGAAGTGTCAATACGCTGCCTCACTGGGGTTACCCACCATCCACCAGAGTCTCTTTGCATTGCAGTAATTCAGCCAGCCACTTCTCTTTTTCCGTATACTTGGGCCTTTGATTTTTAAGGTATTTCCGGAACCAGGGCAGCTGTGCTTATTGACAGTGCAACTCTTTTTGCAGCTTCATCCGCTTTCCTGTTTCCTCTGATTGCATAAGTTTGTCCAGGCTGATGTGCATCACCGGTGTCTCTTTAGGTTTGTTGAGAGTCTCAAGCAGCAACATCATCTCTCTACTATAGTTTATGGGGTTCCCTTGTGAAGAGAACAATCCCCTTTCCTTCTAAATTGTCCCATATGTATGTGTTACCCCAATGGCATATTTCGAGTCAGTATAGGTGTTGGCCTGTTTTCCTTCTGATAGCTCCAGGGCCCGTATTAAAGCCATCAATTCAGCTTTCTGAGCTGATATATTTACTCGCAATGGTTTTGCATCTATTTCTTCTTGTAAGGTGAAAACCACCCTAAGTGCCTTTCCTTTCTCATTTTTCCACAAGCTCCTTCCATCAAGAAATAACTCCCAGTCTGCATTTTCTAAGGCAGTATCTCTCAGGTCTGAGTGACTGGAGCACACCTCTTCGACAGTTTGTCAGGTACCCTGTAACAAGGTAATATGAGGCTTCGTACTTTGCACTGCTCCAGTTCTTTTGCCAATACATTCCCAAAGAGCAGAGCTGTTCTTTAAACCTGGAGGGAGAATGGTCTAGCACAGCTGCATTTGTGCCCTGTTGTGGGACTTTCCCATTCAAAAGCAAACAGCTTCTCACTTTGATCTTCCCACGGGACACAAAAGAAAGTGTGTTTTAAATCCAATACTGTAAAAGTCACTGCCTACCGCATCCCATAATTCTCTCCCTTTGGGAAAGAAGCACATCAGCCATAGGGATCCCTGAGGTGAGTATTGAACTGCAGCCTCATCTCCAGGGCTTCCAGAGGCCTTTGCTTCTGTCTTGACAGGAACCTGTGCAGCTCCTGTCACAAGCTCCTTCTCTATCCACCTTCCTGTGGACAGCCTGTGCTTGTCGCTTCTTTAGTCAAGTCACACTGCCACCCTGCCTGGGGATCCCTGCTCAGAGTATTTAATGGATTCCCCCTTGTGTAGCTGTAGGACTAGCAGGCCATCCCGTCTTTCTGTTCTCCTGATCCTTGGAGGTCAAAACACTGGTGGGAGGTGCAGTGTAGCCTTTGGAAGCACACCAGCTTTGCCCTTCCCTTTTCTTCAGGGGTGCTCCATGCTTAGATAGCATTGCTCTGGGCAAGGGAAAGGTAGCAAAGCACTGGGGGAGACCAGCAGTGATTACAATACCCTAGCAGAAATTGGCTTCCACTGTGTTGCAGGCTTTGGGGCTCTTGGTTGGCAGAGGTACATCTAGTGGATATGTTGTTCTTCCTTTGAGATACACCCTAACTCCCTCCCTAGTGTTGTTTATCTCCATACAGCTCCACCATTTCTTTGTTTTCCAACTCTTTGCCTGGCCCCTGGGTGCCAGCAGCCCACCTGGCATTGGAGTCCGCACTGGCACAAAGGGTTCCTGCTCTGGGGCCCTCTGCACAGCTCTGAGCTCTGCCAGCTGGACCAACCGTCCATTGCCTCTGCAAAACCTCCTCTGGTGGCTGCCTCTGTAGCTGCCTGCAAAGCCTGGCAATCCTTCTGCATTGGGAGGAGGAATGCCCTGGATGGGAGCTCTGAGACATTCAGGCAGAGTTCTGCATCCTCCCGCTCACACAGTGCCCAGCAGTGCAACCTCTTGCCTTGGTCCTGATCGTCTGAGTCACCAGTGCTACTGTGTCATCAGGGAAATGCAGAAAAAGAGCAAAGAGAAGATGGGAGAGCTTTGGGACCCCACAGCCCAGCTATGGTTCTTTGGAGGATAGCAGTCGAGCTATGTCCAGCACCTCCACAGCAGTTTCCCAAGGAAAGAGTAGGTGCAGCATCTGCCTTTCTCTCTTGACAGCCTCCTCAAAAGGCCTGTGCACCCCAGGCACCTCTTCTGCTGCAAGAATGGCACTTGGCAAGCTGAGCCCCTAACCCCCACCAACAAGGAGGCATCAGGCCTGGCTGCTTCTTGGCCCCAGCAGAGTCAAGGCTCACAAATACCAGGAAGACACCTCTTTTTAGCCTATGGACATTTTTTGGGGGGGAAGCCACAACTAACAAGAGAAACTAATGGAGAGTGGTGGTGTGGAGCGAGGCCTCGGAGCACCAAATGAGCTTTCTGGGGAGCAGCTGGTAGATATCTGGGGAAGCGAATTTGCTCTGGCAATCTTGAAGGCAGGACTGGAACGTGTTTTCACAGGTGCCAACTTCTGTGACCTTAGTTGTTGCTCCTTGATGGAAATATGGTCCTCCCTTGTGTTCTCCTCTGAGGGCCATTTCTCGCCTTCCACACTGCGCAGGGAGGAGAGGTCGGGCTCCGAGAAGCTCCTGCGCAGCCTGTGGAGATGGTTCTTCCTGGGAGCGAGTGGAGGGGCAGAGACACAGGCTGCCCGGGGGCTGGGGGCAGGAGCGTCCACCCCGTTGGGCTGCTCCACGTTGCAGGCAGCGCCGCTGCCTCCAGCTGCTGCCTCAGGGCTCTGTCTGGCAGAAGCGCTGGGCCGAGCAGCCCCTGAGTGCTCTGTGGGGAGAAAGAGGCCCTTGGGCAGCTTGGAGTGGCTGTGGGCAGATCCACAGGCAATCACTTTCTCTGTGGGAGCAGCCCTGGAAAGCAAGGGTTCCAGGAGAAAAATGCTTCTAGGCCCTACTGAACCCTCTCTGCCTTTCACCACTTGCCTTGCTCTCTCTAGGTCAAGCACACGAGGCAGCAGCCCTGGTCCAGCACCAGCCTCCCTGCAGCCTCCTACCTGTGGAGCTGTGCACGCGCTTCGGGCCCTCCTCAGCCGAGGGAGTGCAGGGCAAGGGGAGCTCCTCTCCAAACAGGTCTGCGTGGTGGCAGATGAGGAACTCCACGAGCAGCGTGACCTGCACACACAGAGGCTTTGAGATGAGCACCAGGCGCTGCAGAGGTCCCGAGCAGCCTTTCGTGCCCTGCACGCACGTTTTAGTGCCCCCAGCTGCAGCTCTGCAGCCTGAGGTGCCCCATCCCAACCAGGCAGCCACAGCCTGAGCTGCAGGGCACCCTGTGAGGTGCTCACTTCAGCGCACCTTGTCATTCCTCGCCCGCTGCACATCCAGGGGCAGCACGCTGTCCGTGTCAAGGCTCAGCATGCTTGGCCCCACGCAGATTGCCAGGTTCCTGGCATGCATCTTGTTGCTCTCTGCACTCTCGCTGATGTGGTGCAGCAGCGAGAGCAAGCGCCGGAGCAAGAGGAGGTTGGCGCTGGGCAGCTCTGCAGCCACCCTAAGGGAACACAAGGCAAAGGCAAGAGCCAGGAAATCTGCAGGGGCCTCTCCTCCTTCTCTGGAGCCCCAGCATTGGCCCTGGGAACACAACTTACTCCTTCAGTGCTGCAATTCTCTCCTCGTGGCTTGGCCTCTCCAGTGCAAGCAGCCACTTCTCGTAGAGGTCTGCCACAAGCAGCTTGGATGGGAGGTTCCTCAGGAAGTCCTGCAAGGCCAAGGTCCTTGGGTGAAGCTCTCACCGATAGCAGTGGGCAGAGAGGCTGCATCCTTGTGAGATGGATTCACTAAGAGGCAGCTGGCTTTGAGCCACCTGCCCTCAAAGCTGCTCCTGAGGCCTGGCAGAGCAGGAGGCTACATTGCTCACAGGGCAGGAGGG